AATTTCACAACGTCCTTTGGACAGTAAAGGACCTTCCTTTTAACGCTAAATGTTGAACGGGAAACTTGAACAATTGTTGTAATTGTCAAATATATATTTATCACGGAACACAATTAATTGCCCCTAGATGAATACCCGAGATAGAAATCCACGTACTTTCATAGGAAATACAGTAGGTATTTTGGAGTTGGTACTACGAAAATTTTAATATAATACTCATTAGAAATCTTTTTTTGTTTGTTAAATTAATGTGCAATGATACTATGACTATTATAACAATGTTTACATATATATATAATTGATATATTTCTGACTTTAAAAATTCGAAATTTATTCATTATCGTAAACATGTCGCTTCTGCCGAAACAATTACTACTTTAAAAATATTATAGATTGTAAAACCAAATTTTAATTTTAAGCTTCAATTAATAATCAACCCCTGGCCCTTGCTAATCAAAAGATTTTTTTATTATAATGAAAAATTCTTGAAAAGTGTATTGGCGAATAACAGAAAAAAAGTTTATCAATTATTAAAAATTGTAAAAGATTTTTCAAGACTGCTTTATTCATATTATTCATTAAGCTCCTGCCTTCTTTTTATTACCAGACCGTGCAAACTCCAAGTAGTACTATACTATATACATATAGTGTTATACGTAGGTAGATGGTTAAGTTACTACTGGCTTCTAACTATCCTACATATATCTATATCATTTAATTCGTCTTCGAGGAACACGTGACAAATTATAGTCACGTTATAGAACAAAAATAAAAACGCTGAACTTGAATATGAAGTAGGTTTCAACATTGTCTTATAGTCTAATATAACAATAATGGGCTTCACAAATCTATTAAAAATATGTATACAGTTTTCTATACTAATTAGAAATCCCTTATTCGAAGTGATTTTTATCAAATAATTCCTAAGTAACTAAATAATTAGGACAATGAAAAGTCATTTGAGTAATAAGTACTTATTGATTGTCCTCTGTATATGCCTGGAATCGTCTGATAATTGTATTTAATAGTTTCTGTCTGGTTTTTATTTTTAATTATTTGTTATAGATATACTATTATGAGCGCTTATTCAATTTATCCTAACTACATTGTCATTAAAGTAAAAAAAGGGACATTTAAGTTTCAAACTGTGAGAATTGAAATATAACTATGTAATAATCACATTCCTTCTTACACATATTGATAAAATATGTATTTGAGAATAGACGTTTTTATGCTACTTAACACTAAAAAAATCGTCTCGGCTTTAGTCCTCGTTTCACACCGCCGTCAATTAGCATTTCGTTTGAAGATCTGCTGCTGTCTTACATTTAGTTTTTAAATGTAATATGAGTAACGTTTTGTATATTTAAAACTATCTCTAATAACAATGTTTTAAGGTTCATTTTTATCTAAATGGACTGTGATATTGGACACTTTTAAGTCGATAACAAGTACGAAGTCGTGTGCGTGACATATGAGTAATGACAACAACGCAGCGGCGTGTGTCGTCGGAGCCAAACGATCACATGTGCGTCTAGATGTATTAGTTATGTAACATTGGAGAAATTAGTTAAATTATTTGTAATGACACATTTATTTATTTCTTTACTTCGCTAGATTCATAAACGTGAATATATTACTATGACGTTCTCAAATTTAATAAATATTTTAAAACGAAGACAAACAAAAACACACTAAATAATTAGTCATTATTATCTATCAAGTCCCTTAATTCAGTAAGAAATTTTATGTCTCTTGCCCGTATGATACTACCTCCATGGGCTGAACGGTCCAAAAAAATGAAACTAGTGCATAAGACACAAGAATGTTTGAATCATAAAATTAATTTACTATGCGGGCAAAGGCGTTACATACAAAAAAACAAGTGTTCAAATGGAGTCTTAAAAAAAAACAATTATTTGCAAAAAAATCAAGGAATATTAGATGACAATAATTTTAAGATTTAAATGTTTAAGAAAGAAGATAAATATCGTAGGTTATAAAATTGTATTTCGTAGGTAATAAAATTGTACTCTTTAGGTTCTCGACGTTAAACATAAAATTTAAATATTTTCCAAAAAAAAAAGTCCTAATATATTCCTAATATTGTTTAATCTCTACCTAGATAATCGTTTGTACAAAACGAGCAAGCAATTGACATCATTCGTCAGTTGCTTTTGATTAAAGCTGTCTACCAGTCAGCGCTCAGCAGACTCCATTATGCACTTATTTGTTTATGGAAATACAGAAACCCAAATGTCATTTAACAGTTGGGTAATAATGACTTTAGACGAAACAGTGTTTGCCGAGCTGAAGGTAAGTTCCAAAGTAAGTTCGCGAATTGAATGACGTTGAAGCTAACTCCGAAACCGAAATTAAATAACTATAATCTGTTCCTTCTACACCAGTCTACTTATGAATATTTCATCATATGCTGAATTTCCTGATTAATAATAGATGAAGGCAATTGACTATTCCTCGAAACATAGACATTCTAGTAAGATCTTTTAAACTGAAATAACAAAAAATAAATACGCTGAATTGATTTCGTATGTAAACGGATTGTAAAAGTTCTCATTCGTTTCTATGTATGTAACTGTCGAACAACGTAAACAGAGATATAAAATTTAACCAAACATTTTATTACACAGTGAGTAGTATCGAAATGAAATGTAACATAAAAGCTGTTAACACAATTCATTAAAAATCAATACTGTCGAGTGTGAAGTGATTGCATACGACGGTTAGTGAAGAAGTCAAAGTGTAACAAAACGGTTGAGTAAGTCGTTTCTAGTTGCAATGCTCGCGCGATCTCCGTAAACAATCGTCTCGGTAATAACCGTAACGAGCTCATGCCGATCCCGTTCTCATCTGTATTGTGTCGGCCCAACCGTCCACACAATCGCTAGGTTAGTCTCACCTTACCCACTTCCACAATAATTTTGTGCACTAAATTCAACTTAACGCTAAGTTTCATTAGCATGTATTTGTTGAGCTTACTTAAATGGTTTATTACGAAAATTACTTAGATTTTTTTGTTTCTAAGAGCTCATAAAATATATATATATATTATCTATACGTTACTATATGTATCAAACAAATTATTGTTATTCAATATACAATTACATAAATAAATGTGAGATTTTCAAATTCAATTTACTCGGTAATTCGAAACGAATCAGAAGCCTAGTAGTGACAAACCCTCACATAAGGTTGACTAACCTCGAGATGAGAAACAACGTGAAGGATCAAATTTACTGTACAAATAAAGTTCATTCCAGTTTATTTCTGTAATGTTAAAGAAGGACAGAGTAAATCTTTGAGCGGCGTGTCAATGATATGTCAGGCGCGCGAAGTGAGCCAGATAATAGAACTGAACCTTTTGTCTACCAACTGCCTCACTGTGAAACGGCTTACGCTCGAAACTCTGAAATAATGAGTTTTTCCTTTACAAATAGATAGAATAACTAACCTTGCCCCATTTTGAAGAAACCATTTTAGAAAACGAAAAATTATAGAGACAACTACGTAATAGGTACCATAACTATAAATTGCATTTGTAATCTGAAAATTTATAGGGATATCCCAAATAACAATTGCAACAAAATATAAGTTTGAGATCACCTGGCAAGATTAGAGTGATAAACTTTTCTGCCACATTTTACATTTCAAAACAAATGAATCTCAACAATTATCTCGTATTGACCATATTTTTGTAATATCTACAATAGCGTCAGTTTTTATACCTATGACAAGTATTCGTTATCACCGCGTGTTATGTGTTAATTAGATTTACGTTATTGAGATATAATATTTTTGTTGTTATCAGTGTCGTGTGCTTTAATTTTTGTATTTCAAATGTAGAAACAGCTCTATGGGACCGAGTTATTTACATGTGAGATTATTTTAAGACCGCCCTTATCTAACGATAACCAGTTTAGTGACAGGAATATTAAAAATTATCTTATCAACAAAAAAACTCAGTGCAAACATCTTAAATCAACATTCAACCCCCAGAAAACGTGTTAAGTAAAATAAACTCAAGCTGTTGAGCATGTTACGTAGATCTTTTTTACGACTTCAATTTGTACTTTTTGTTTCAGTCTCTTGTCAAGTAGCATTTGGCATGCAGCCATAGGTTGAGCTGTGGAAACCACATCGTGTAAGGAGGCCGTCAAAAATTTTCCTACTTTCCATACAAATTGACAGAACTTTTACTTATTTTTAAGGTCATTGATTTTTTTTCTTTATATTAACGAGTTTTATGCTGTTGTTAATTATATTTATGACATTATGACCGAGATACATTTTCTAGCAATCATAGATATGTCGCCCTAGATATCTCCAAAGAACAAAGTTGGCATAGATATAGGGATCAAAGTGCAGCGTGGGCGTCCGACCCAATACCACAAGCGGCATCACTTGCGCACGCGCACCGGTCCTTTAACAATTAACATTGGCGCAATTAATTTAAATGACTCCATAGAATTCATTTGTATATCGCCACAATTACGCCACAGAAAGCGGAAATCATGAATTAGATCATCATGTTATAATAGGGTTTTTTATATTATTTTAAAAGAAATAAAAAAAAACGGAATGCAAAAAAAATATCAAATTAGGATTGGAATAAAACAATTTTCTTTTTTCTTATATATTTGATAATATTTTTAACACTTTGCTTAATGCCAATTGTAATCAAAACACAGTTGTTTAAATTTTACGTAATGTAAAGGGCCGGTACCGCGCTCTACGTTGATATTATGTTCTTAAATTTGAGGTTATGTTGTGATAACTCTTTGGAATGAAAATTGGAAAATTTCAATTAAAGCGATATGAACCTAAATATTAAATGCGATAAGGTTTTATTTCGCTTGCCACTACACGAGAGTAAAAGGGCTCAGGAAGCTGCGCGCGCAACCGGCATGGCGGCCATCGCACACCTGACTGCCAATACACCTTGACATCTTAACTGAATTACTGTTTCCAACTATACTAGCATGTCAACGAGACCCTACACGCCAGCTCTATACACATACGAGCGATTGTCACATCCACAACCTTGCCTTTCACCGATACCAAAAGTTCGCAACAAGTCAAATCAGCTGATTACCAAACTTTTTCCGATGTTTATATTCCGTAACGGAAAGTTCTCACTGAAAACGTATCGCGACATCTTTCAGATATTGACACTATCGAGACATAGATCTCCCCTAATCAAAGCGGACGATCATTTGTCATCGGCGAGTGCATCGGATGCACTTCCGTCGGCGCGCACTGTACAGACGGCCTTCGACTTGCGTACCTGGACTAGTCTGCCAGCTGAGACCTCCGACGAACATCTTCCTGCAAGATAAACATGCCGGTTAGTTGTCGAAAGCTAGACAAGACGTATCTTCTGAAGGAGGAGCCGCATCACCCACCCTGGGTCGTTGGCCACCTCGGTGGGGCTGTGGGCCACATCCTGACTTTGAGTATCCATGGGTTCGAACGCCGGCGGCGTGGTTCAGGCCGGCGGACGCACTACGACTACGAGCGAGCGAGGACGCGGTGGGGACGGCTCCCGGAGTCGCTCGGTTGCACTACCGACTACCGGCACGAGACTGCCGCGCCGCGGCGCACCCCTCCACGCAGAGCCGCCGCCCGCGCCCGCCGCCCGCCGCCTCACCGCGCACGACGCCTCCGCCGCATCGATTCATTCACTCTATACAATTATTCATACGAGCCGCACGATGGACTCGGGCGCGCCACCACGCTCCTCACCAGCACGTGAACGCGCGCCACGTGCTCCTCGCCCCCGCGCCATCACCACCACACGCCCGGCCTCCGACCGAGCACGCCCACCGCTCACCCCCCGCCCCGCTCCTACTTCAACATCAACAGATGAATTCATCTATATATATTTTGACACAATAATATAATTAAAGTTTCTCGCCCAAATTACTTATTCCAGGCTTTATGACTCAAGCAATAAAGTTTAATTTTTAATGGTAGTTACAATTATAGACTTGCTATTTCTGTAGGACGAACACACGTTCCTCTGGCATTTGAGCCACGTGATTTTACATTGCGAAATACAGGCCAAAACCTGAATCAATCATCCCACTACGACGCGCTACAAAACCACGCTACGCGTAACACGGGCTACGATCGTAGAGCCTATTAAGAATTCACACATTAAATTCGTGTAAATAAATAAGTGTTATTCCTATAGCGAATGACACTTAATGATTTATTTAAATGTATGTATGTAATTATGCGATAAATAATGAAAATATTATTCCTTCATTATAACATGACATAAAAATGTACATAGAAAATGTAAAAAAACAAATATAAAAAATTATATAAAATGGAACGGTCTGAAATAGCACAGTTAATAGAGGATTGAAAATTTAACATTCAATTCGAGGGAAAACTAAAATATCCACATAAAGTACACAAAATAAATCGACGGATTAAAGAGGAAGCGGTCCCAAGTAAACAGAAATATCAGATATTTCAAACGGCCAAAGAGAAATATTCACGCCTCAATATCCATCTCACAGCGACCGCAATTGCATGTCGCTTATGTTAAAAGCGCAATAACTTAGGATTAAGAATTCTATCAGAAACGTCTCCTAAAACAGAATATTTATTTTGTTATTTTTCTAAGCTATGAAAACTACCCAGACTTTTTTTTACATGTCTCTAATTAATTCCAAGTTGATATAGGGTGTTCATAACATCTCGGATATACTTATAGTATAAGCTAGTAAACTAAGTAAACTTTGATAAAATCTTAGTTTGTTTGTTTGTCCTATTTTCTCCCTCATACGTTCAAAATAATATAATAATTTCTAAACAGCCTGTACATAATTTTAAACTTCAACATAACTACGAAACATTAAGTCGGCTTTAATTAGCATTTTTTGGAAGTCTCCTCTCTTCATAGTAGAGTAAGTTGTCTTTCAAAAGTTTAAGAACCGGGTTTAATGACGTGACGTCTGGTTCCAAAAAAAAATTATTCTGTATATTATTTAAGGTAAGAGTTGAGACATGTGTACTTTTAGAAATATTTTCAGAGTATACCATTTAGATACGGACAAATGTTTGTCTGAGTGATTTATATTTCATGCAAGTTAACTTATATTTTTAACTAGTGATATATATTTTTTAAAGGTCATAATATTTCCAAGTTTTTTTTAAATCTGATTTTACCGCCATTTTGGATAGTATTATAGTTTTAAGGTAAAATTCCGAAGTATTCAGTATGAACAACATATGTACAACAACCTCACAGAGTTTACAATAATAAACAGTTTGAAGATCAATACAGCTCACAATTTATTACACAGCCACAATATTGAGATTTTTAAAACGCCTTAACATATTTATATCTTAAAATTACCAACATTCAGTGAAACAGCAAAATGAATAACATACAAAAATATATAATAAGAAATAACGTTAAACAAAATTGTATTATAAATAAAAATTAAAACCTTTTTATATAAAAAATAATTAATTAGTAGTGGGATTTTCTCTATAGAAGTTGCTCAAAAATTCCTTGGAATTATTAAAGTTTTTTATTTATTTCTTTATGAATTCACCTGAAATTTCGGTGTGTCAATGAAATAATTGAGCAAAAATGTACATTTGGAATGTAAAATCAGTAAATTGGAAGTTATTACAACACAAATATTGCTTTTTAAGAAATTAATGGTCTCCCCCCTCCCCCTTTTGTTACTTTAACCGTGGAAAAAAATGTGTTACACCAGTTTTTCAATTGTTTGCTTACATATCGGTTTACTTGTTTAAGATTTAAAATTTATAAAAACATTGTTGCATAGAAATACAAAGTTAAATTTAATAATAATTGACATTAAACTGAATAAATTATATAAACATAAAATTGAACAATTGTTTATGGCAGGAATTAAAAATAAATTTACGTTTATACATATCTTGATATTGAGGCCTTCAAGCCTATACGGTATAAAATGTTCATTCCGAAATTAATATTTCTCTTTAAACGAATTACAACAGAATAACAAATAAAAACAATATTTTTGAGAACATGCTGTATATGTCTAATAATGAACAAATATTCAATAATTTTAACTAACATGAAAATTTATAACTATGTCATTTTCTATTTCACATGTAAGTCATGATAACTATTAGAATGCAGTTTCATCACATAAAAATAAAATATATAAATTACACTACATACATAAATATTAAAATATAAATCACATCTTGAGAAAAATACTTCAATTAAATTATAACTATTGTAGTCTTTTGAGATTCACAACCAGTTGTATCAATAACAATTAAATTAAATGCATAATATTCGTACATACATTGACAAGCAAACACAGCCCAGCTAGCATTAATCTAACAATAACCTAAATTAAGTAATATCAAATGCAATTAATGGCAAAAAGCCATATAAAATAATAAATAAATAATAACAATAATTGCACACAAGCTGCAAAAGCAGTAACCAAAAAAAATGCAGTCTTTTAGTTAATGTAAAGCATAAATTGCTAAAGCTAATTAAATATATAAAAACATATAAAACAAGCATATAACAATAATTTTACTAGACAAAATGTCTACTTTAAAGCAATAAAGATACAAATATATAAAATAAAGCTGATATGAAAAAAATAAATTTCAGTCCTTTTCTCCTGTGATGATCTTGAATATTAATTATTTATATTAACTCAATACTCAAGTCAAAAATAAAATAGCTATTGGTCCTAAAGAAAGCCGCTATCCTTATGTATTATCGAGAAACACATTTCTAAATGTAATATGGCAGTGGAACTACTCATTATAATGATAATTTTAAAGACAATTTCAATTCTAACAATGAAATACTAAATTGCTATGCAACATCATAACAATATCTACTAGTATACAAATGGTAATTCCTATAATTAGAATAATTTCTAGTTAATATTTTAGTTAAGTTTAGGACTGAGTGAATAAAATGAGATATCACTGAAATATGACTGATATTTAAAAAAAGAAGCATTCATTTAAATAGAAAATAAGCAAGACAAGCAATTATTTTTGTTAATCTACATTAAATAATACAAACGTTCATTTCATAAAAAATTAAGGATGAATTCAACTGATCTTACTATCTAGAAACAATAATAACAATAGTAACAAAATCATTGTTAACAATATTGAGTGAGTTGGATGAGGTCATTGAACTATAGAAAATGGATTTAAGAACTTTTTTTTATATAAAATTATTGCCTCAAATCCATAGAGTCAAAATTTATAGTTGAATTCAACCTGTTTAATTCTAGTCTAATAAGTAAGTTGCAAACATTCAAATGTGTTTTGCATACGACAATATCACGATTTAAAATATAACAAAACATCAGAACAAGAAACATGAATGAGATCCTACAAGTTATAATATTTTACGATATACATTTAATTCTTAATATTATAATCCAAAAGAATAATACTGAGTTATACTTTGGCACGACATTCATTAAAAGCTAATCTATCAGGTAACTCAAGAGGTAGATAAGTGTTCGCTGGCAATACCATTAAGTATAAGAATTTTTTTCAAAAACTTTTGACATAAGCAAAATATTTTCATCTAGAGATATAAACTACCTAAATTTACAGCAAAATATATGCTGAGATTTAAAAATGGAATGTAATTAGTTTTTTGTTACTGTAGAACATTCAGTTTTAGAAGAAAGTAAAGCGGACAGTGTGGCATGAGTGGCACTCAAATTGCCAGAAGTTGGGCAGCCAATGTTATTATGGTTGCCAGTATTCAAAATTCCACTATTACCTGCACTTACGATCGTTACATTAGGTGGGGGAGTTATTCCATTAGCGAAACCAGTGGATAGAACTTTTTGTGTATTATGCATCACAAAAGATTTGCTGGACCCAGAACTGCCTAGGGTTAGCACTTTTTTTAGCATAACTGATGAGTTACATGCATTATCAATCATATCTTTGGTTGTGGAGATACTATCGAAGTCTGAAGCAACTGTTACTACAGTACTTTTGGGCGAACTTGTATGTACTGACGGTCTAACTGATGTCACATTAAAAGACACACCTGATGTAGCTGTATTACGGTTTACAATGTTTTTGGAGACTATGGCGTTGTGTAGAATGTTTCCTGTGGGAAAGGATTTGGAACAAACATTGACATACTGAGGGGTCCCGATTATTGTTGCGTTTGAAGACCTCGTACCAATACCTAAGATGCTGGCTGTACCTTGAGACATCACCGTGCTGATAGTGCCCGATTTGGCATTAAATGGAATTCTGGAACAAAATATTCACATCAAAAGTGCAATTTACACACCAGTAAAAATGAAGTTGCAAGAAGTGACTCGAGGTCAAGAAAAATAAATTCTATCGCAAGATTTTGTATCTGCATATAAATATTTCCATCACAAATATTTAAACCATATTCACAGATAGAGAACAGAATACCATCTTATCAGTCCGTATTTGTTACTTTATGAAATATTATTTGTAGTTGGTGTAGTTATCATCATCTAATTAGTTTACCTAAAATATTAGCTTAGTACCTCATAATACAACATTTAAAATTCATAAAATATGCTCGACGTTTTGCTATGGTTTTCATCCATTCCTATACATTAATAAAATAAGACAAACGCCTTAAAATCCTCTGTTGATGGTAATTATTATTACATTTAAAGTTCATAAAATATGCTCGACGTTCCGCTATGGTTTCATCCATTCCTATACATTAATAAAATAAGACAAACGCCTTAAAATCCTCTGTTGATGGTATGTATTATTTTGATAATGAGATCTAAAATTTTTGCGAGTACTCATTTAAATGAAACTAATATTTTCTGATTTACTACACGATTTTTTATTTCTGACTATAAACTACATACTCCCGACGTTTCGGTTACTTTACAGTAACCCTACTCTCGGGCCGACGAGATGTGATTTATTTTGATGTTAAATTTTAAACTGTAATTAGTTATAGATTTAGTTCCTGTCTGTTTTGAAAAGAAATAATACTCAGTTAAATAAGTAAAAAATAAAATACATAAGTTGTATGCAAACTTAAAATTATTTAATATTTTGATATCAGAAAAATCTTGTAGATGATAGATAAAAACTATCTGGCTTTCGTCTATCATCATACTTAATGGTGAATGAAAATTATTTTTGCTATGAGAAAGCAGTATGGAATGCACATGATTTTTAATTTTGTATAAACACATGTAACAAAGAAATACCTAGCACAAAATGATGATTATTCACTCCTGTCATTACAACAAAGTTTTGAGTTGAATGATATGAATAAAATAATGAACCAGTGACTAATTCATTAATTATATGACAAAAACAGTTCGATGAAAAAAATATAGATAAAATTTTACGTCAGTGAAGGATTTCATTTAAATATGATATTAAAATTAATAAAAAAGATGAGAAATAAGTCGTTTTACCCTCGAATCATATGTGATGGTCGCGGTACACCCTGTATAGTGAGGGTTGCTTGTGGTAAATGTAGCCGCGCTGGCTGACTGTAGTAATGTAATGTGTTGCCAGTTATACGTGGCGGGGCGATGTGAGCGACGGGAACACTATGTATCATACCGCTGGTTGTAGACGCCACTGTTATACACTTGGACTGGCTGCCTGAAAACTGAGAATATTATGTGATTAAAATATATCCATTAATAAAAATAGTAGGTTGTGTCATTGAGATCATCTGTTAGTAAAATATAAACAGTATGAATCCGAAAATATATGTGGATTTTGATAAATATTTTAGTTGTATATTAATCTATGACGATTGTAAAAAATATAATATAAAATACTAAAATACAAAAAATGGCTAGAATGTTGTATTTATATATTTACTGTCGTGTTCCCTTTTCAAAGGTGACATATGCTAAAAAACTTAATAAATTGATTAAAATGTTAAGATTGAAGGAAATCATTTATGTATTAACATAGTATTTTAAATTAACTGTTACGAATAATAAACTTTGTACTTTTCTGATTAAGTTGGGTAACTTACATTGCTTGTATTTAAAGTTGTGCCCAAATCAAACTCATCTCCAACTAATGTTATAGTGTCGGGGTTTGCTCCAGTCAATTTTTCAATAGTTTTTCTTGCATCTGCATCACTTTCGATGTTACACAAATTACGACTCAGAAATTCAATGTCCGATTCAAACAAACCATCGACGAGATGATTTTCATCATCTGTTTCCTTACACAGATCAAAAGCATCCTCATTCTCGAGTTTTATATCTTCCACTTTGATACCATCCACATTTATATCATCAATATTTTCAACCTTAATACCATTTGCTTCTAGATCCTCAACTTTTATACCATCCACTTTTATTTCATCCAGATCTTCCATTTTAATTCCATCCACTTTAATATCATCAATATCCTCTACCTTTATATCTGCAAAATCTGAATCCTCTTTCATTATGGATTCTCCAAAGTCTCTTGAATTTTCAGAGTTTGTTATATACTGGCTTGCATTGAAGTTAGCTGAGTCGAAATCATCATGAACTTCTAATTTGATGTCTTCTATTTTGAACTTGTCTTCCTGGTTGCTTGTGGAAGGTTGGGGGCTATTGGCATTACTAATATCTCCGCAAAGAGCCTTCTTCAAAACATATGCCTTAATTTTTCTCAATAAGAATGGTGGGACTTTAAATCCCGTCAATTCGCCAAGAAGAGGTAGAGAGCTGTGTTTATAGGCATCACTAGCTGCTAATTCTTCAATATCTTCTAAGACCTAAAATTTTTAAGAAAACATTATAAATACTGAATTCAATAATTATAACTTCCTAAAACAATTCAACAAATTAGGGTGCAAGACCACAGAGTTACTAACATTTAGTAAAAATAAATAGAATCCAAATAACTATAATGTAACTCATTACACAATTTAATACAATAACTACAAAAATAGATTTTTTTGAAAACTCTGTATTATTTTCTCATAAGAAACCAAAATGTAATCTTTGCTAGATTATTGAACTAGAAATTCATAAAATATAATTTATTAAGAGTACCATAATGTAGGTCTTGCCGCCTACAGCATTAGCAAGGTTGTGGCTTGCGATCCATTCTTTATCAGCACTATCAGCTGGATATCTTAACAAACCAGCATGACGGGTGTAGAGACGACCACGTGAATTACCCAGTCCTAACACCTGAAATATATAATAATTTGACATTAAGGACTTATAAAGGTATTTCCACTGATATATTTTATTTACAAAATACTAACTGTACTAGTTCATGATTATCTGTTTTGTTTATAAACTTATGAAGGAATTATTGCCAAATAGTAAATGTTGTAGGATGTTTTTATGATAGGATATAAAAAAGTTATTATGTAAATAAACTATGATTTTACTCCAAATAATCAGATCATATCCTAGCAAAAATAGTTCAAGTTTAAATTATTAATACCAAAAATTGTGTTTAAGTCATGTGGTCAAAGAATTTATAGGTGAAAAAATTAATAAAAATTTAAATATAGTTACAAAATAGTCATTGACATTATATAGTAAATATTAATTTAACTGTAATAATCTAGACATTTTGATTTTTTATTACATTGGTATAATGTAATATTAAAATTACACAATTATTGTTATAATTTTTTTCACATTTGCTTAACCTTGGCTCACATATAACAACTACATTACCAACATTAATATTTAAAATTTTATTTTTTTTTCTTTTATGTATACTTAGGTTTTTTTTTTTAAAAAAACGAGCAGACGGCCCACTTGATGGAAGGTAACATACATAACATATGGATATATAGGGAGGGGTGGAAATATTATGAATTTTTCTGTGAGAGGGTGACTGCTTGAAAAACGTCATAGCATTTAAGAATTTTTATATGTAATATAATTGGAATAGCAATATTAAATAGATAAACATTTATGAAAAACCAAGAAAAAAAAATGAGAATACTATTAGAATTACCTTATGAGCATGGGAGCCCATAATGAATAGTGTATCTTGAGTAAGACGAGCTGGATTCCATTTTTCGGGATCTCGGACAGTGGGAAATGGAACTGGTGATGCAGAACCACTATCAGAACTGTCCTCTTGTTTAATCTTCTTGACTTGAGACAAATCTGAATCCAAATCTGGCTCTTTCCTTTTATTTGTTAAAGGATTTGGTATCTTATAAAACAATAAAGAAATTAATTACAAAATTCCATCATATACTTATATGACAATATGTATAAATTATAAGCTTTGTAGGTTTCAACCGAAAATCCCTGGATGCTTACTGTTTGTTTTGTCAATTTGTCTGTGTCTCCATCTATGGTATCTAAACCAGTATTAGTGGCCCGAGGAGGTGTGGAATATAAGAGTCTTGTGGCATCTAACATTGCTCGACAAACAGCTCTCACCTGAATATTACAAAGGTAAAACAGAACATTAAGTGAGAATATATTAAGTTTACATAGCTTAGTGATACACATTAAAATAAATTTGAGAGAAAATTTGGAATATTCCTCATGGTTGAGGTCAAAATTATTTACTTTATTGGACAGTTTATTTATAGTCAAGATTGCAAAAACATACTGTTATATGATATCCAACTAATAATATCAATCAAAATATTTAATTTATTTGCTATATATCAAAACATGAGTAGGTTAAAATATTGTGGCAAACTTATTTAAAAATTATAAATCACTGACAAATGTAACAACAAATAAAAAATAATGACCAATAACATAATATTGATAAAATTTGTAGTAACATCAAAATAATATAAATCAATCAAAAAAAAAAACTGTGATAAGCAGCAGAAAGAAGCATGGTGCTTAATACAATAATAAAAATGGTTTTGTTTTAATTATCTTAAGGAATATTTTTTGCATTAGTTCATACCTGATCTTCACTCACAGACTCATCGCCTAAGTTTAATCTAATGTTGTTAACGGCTGGCACAAAGAACTTCTGCAAAAAGTTATGATCAAATATTATTAACAATTAAATTTATAAAAATCATATGCATTTTGTCAGTTATACTACACTTACTTCCAAATATTTTTTAATAACTTGATCAATTTCTCTTGTAACCGCTGACTGTACAGTTTGTCGTAGCATATCCAGGGATTTGTTTGCACTAGCTCTAAACTCAGCTATGGGTCTCGAATGGGGTTGAACTGGCCCAGGTAGACTAAACCGTCTGTGCATAGCAGCCAATGTACTTATAGCTATTTGCCGTGTTATAGGTGGTTTCTAAAAGAATAAAAAAATAAAGAAACACCCTTATAGATAAAAGTATAATAGTGTTTTTCTAACTTACAGCCTGCATATTTGATGTGCTACGAATATTTATTATTTTAGCTGGTGTTTGAAGACTCCATGTACTAGTACTTGCTGCATCTAAGGTAACGACATTTTTGTTTGTGTCGATTTCGTTAGTATTCTTTTGTATAACCATTTCTTATTCCGATCATAAACTCTTCGACATATCTCACAAAATATTTATTTGTAAAGCTTGTCTGAAAAACACCACAATGACAAATAGAATTCACAAATTATACAACATTTTTCAATATATACCTATAACTTACAATTAAGATGCTAGACTTAAGTATATTGTAATTAAAATAGGAACAACAAAATATACTTTATCGATATTCAAAATCAATGCCACAGATGTTTGGGCCACAATTAGAGCTAGTGTTGTCCCTTGTCTAAAAGTAACGTATTACGGTTTATGGTTTCAGCTAAAATCTATTATTGAGTCAAAGTTGTGATCAAGAATTGATTTTTAGTGTAAGTTTCAATGTAGGTCTTAGAAATCATAAAACGTTTAATTTTAAATTAAATAAATCCAAAATAATAACCATAACAATAATATGATTGTTGATATTTTTTTAACGTATACAGGGTGACTGGTGAATTACTATCGATACTTGAGGACGTGATATTTGACGATCATATATGACAAAATAAAAATTAATATGACATAAATATTAATAAACTTCTAAGTAAAGTTAACCAAAAGTTATGTAATTAATTACGCATCGTTTGAACACCCTACAGATGAGGTATACACACACACACACACACACACACACACACACACACGCGTGCGGCGGCGTAGTGTTGTATCAGCACGCCGCCGCACGCGTCCACACTTGGAACACTTGGAACGTGTCCACACTTTATTTATTTATACGGAAATTTGGCCAAAAATTAAGTACCTATTTTTTTACATAATTCGAAAGAATCATGTACCGAGTATTCTCCTTAAATATTGATAGTAATTCACCAGTCACCCTGTATAATACTTGCAAAATTGATAAATCTACAAAAAACTTGAAATTAATAGTAAAAAGATCAACAATTTCTGAATTCAATTCTACTAAAAGAAAATCAGTTTATCAAGAAAATAACTTGTTCCGTGGCCATAAGTTTTTCTAGTTTCTAAAATATATAATATACACATTGTTTCTGATTAAGTTAAATACATATACTTTAAGATTAATCAAAATCTCAATTACTGTAGTATCTAAAAAGTAAAATTTTTACCCAATTTTTATTTTGAAAGAACGTACATAATTTACCGACAAAAACCGTAAACAAACAAACACAGTTACGGTTCGTAGTTAACATATAACAGAATATTCATTTACCGATTCCGATTACATTTCGGGAATCAAATAATTATTTAATATTTCTATTACATCCTTAAAGTTCTTCGGATAAATTTTAAAAAGGTAATTTTTTTCTCCAATTATTTTATGATCCAACTTTAATTTTTGTGTATATTTTGACGTATCTTCAATCCTTTTACTAACTAGTAACTGCTCCACCATTCACTTTTTTCTACATTTAGAAATCTATTAATATTGTAATTTTATGTTTGGTATACTGCTCTTAACAATTTGAAAAGTTCACTAGTTTAAGTTACATATTTTAAATCTATATAGCATTTATTATCTTGTTTATGGTTTAAACAAGCCTTCTAACAATAACAATACAGAAGTGAAAGTGGATATCTTCTTACAATCTACGTGGTAATTTTTATTTGACAATTGGGCAGCCAATGAACGTGTAATATGATAACTGTCTACTTTTATTAATGATTATTTCAACACCCAACTTCAGTTAGTAAAGTATAGTCAACCTGATAGTACGACAATTATACCGGGTCCAATTACGTAAATAATATTGTTCATCACATAGTAGTTTGACTTGGTAAGTAAAAAATATTATTTTTTTTACAATAGACGCTTGGTTTTTAGAAAGTTCAAGAATTATTCAAAGATCAGAACTTAATTCATGCTATATAATAATATAATTTTTGAACTTTGCACCTAGTTGAGAAACTAGTTTTTTTAATATCTCTCGTGAGGTAAATTAATTTTGAGGTGTTGGCCATAAGTACATCTAAGCAGGCTCTGTAACTTGTAAGTACAATTGATTTTTGTATAATGAACAATGAACATTATACTCTGTTAACTATAGCACTATCTTTAAATAAAGCAAAACAAATTGATTTTGTCACATACATTTATTTTTACTATATTTAATGTATAATTATCCTCATAACAATACTGTAGAAGGAGTTATATAAAATATAAATTATACAAGTGTAAATTATAATAAATTCGACCTACTTTATGTGTATTTTTTAATCTTATGCATGAATAAAATTACTTAAACTATCTACATTCTTTTATCATCAATTGGTAGAAGTAATAATTATTATTCTTAAACATACTGAAACTTTTATATCATTTGTTTTGTATACCATAAAACTGTATATGCAATATAGTAATAGTTCTTGCATAGACTATCAGTTTAATGTTATTAGAGAATAGAGAGTATATAATTATACCTAAATAATAGAAGTTAATTCTAAAATAACAAGTTTTACTCACTTTTGAGGCGAAAAAATGTTGGAATGATTGAGTGACGAAGCCAAAATAAGTATTACTGTTTTCAAAACAACTTTGTTTTCGAGTGAAGAATTGACATTTTACTGCATCATATAATTGATAAAAAATCATTAAAGGTCAACTGATGCTTTGATTAAAATTTAAGTTTATTTTACATTCTTGATACATTTTTATAAACATCCTAGTGGTGTTATGTTTTATCATGTCGGTTCATGTTTGTATTCTTAGCATTTTTTTGTAAAATCATATGATAATGAACAGGTCATTAAACTTTTGTTTGCTTTGTAAAATTATGGAACTATTTGGTTTTGGCTTAAAAGATTTTTCATTTGGTACAGCTGAGCTATAATATCTCAGTTGTAATTTGTACTTGGGCAGACTTGAGCGAACAAGTTTTCACCCTTTCACAATGGATTAGTTAAAAAAGTTTTTATAATTTAATATTGTCTTAGGAGTACGAGTCAGGTGAAATATTGTTTTTCCTATCCTTTACAATTTCTATGTCCAGTATTAGAGCTTTTTAGTTCTATTTAGTTCTGTATTTGGCCTTGTTAGCCAACATAGTGATCAGGTTTTTGTATTATTTTATTGTCTTTTTAAACTGGTACTGAGGATAACAGAATTCTTGATGTCGGAGATATACTACCTATTATCTCTTACTATCAAATCATATGTTTATTAATGCATCTCTGGCCTCTGACCATTATATAACTGGGACGAATTAGATATGGCACTATAAAATAACGCATTGTGATTATTGTGAAGATAACACTTATCACTATAGTTTTCAATTAACGATCCTTTGATAACATCAGTTGACTCTGGGGATATTATTTATACGTAATTGCCTATTTTTAGGTCTATAGTCTGTTTTTACCACCACACTGTACCCTTTAGAGTAGCATATGATTTACAGAGTCTTTAAAACATTTTATTCGAGTATTACAATATGAAGTCTATTCAGAATCATTATGTAACAGCATTTACATCACTACTTATAAATTATACTGCCACAATGCTGAGCTTCGGTTTGGTCTTGCATAGTTTTTCTAAAGACAATAATTTTTAATTGAGTACTCATGCAATTTTCCTACGTTTTTGCCTCATTCATCAACCAATGATTTAGTTTTTTTTAAAGAACGTGTTTGGTACGGCTAGTAAATGTGCATTTACGACATTGTTCTCTAGTATTTGTGCTTTTATATTCAAAATAATAACAAATTTTTTAAATGAGTTTCACAAAGTGATTATACACTTTTAGATAGCATTTCTCTATTATTATTGCTGTTTATTGTTATTAACCTAATATTGATAAAATAGTTCTTTTTATACATTACTTTTTAAAAAATAAAAAAATCTATAAAGTTTTTATTCTGACGGAATTTAAAGATCAGTTGTCAATTGACTGTAATTTTACAACTTAATAGTGTCATCTAGTAATAAGTATAGCAATTATGATGTATTTAAATATTGAGTTTAGTTTGGCTTCAGTGCTGTTAACTCATTAAAATCCGAACAGGTGGTGTTCGTAGTACAATAATATTTTACCCGGTGAATAATACATTTATATTTGAAAATTCTTAAATCAATATAAAATTATATATGTTTTTGTAAATATAGCATATCTTTATACGAAATAAACTTTCTTTTCTAACTCGTAAATCTGCAGACGTATCTAATTGTACCGAGTAAAATGTACCCAAAATACTGCTCAGGTTGTATGATAGTGTTAATGACTAATGTACATATTTCCTCTTGCCGTAATTACCAACAAGTTGACGGTCTGCTCGTCTGCTTCCTTAGCCGCATAAAAAATATTATTTAACAATTAACATATACAACTAAAAGCCACACTTATTATTTCAAAATTGTTACAAATAATTTACTAACTTTTTGCGCTATATATATAGCAATTCAAAATATATTTTGAATACAATAAACTTTGAATATATTTAATTCATAATACGTATGTAATGTTTATGTGATAATTAGTTTATAAAACAGCATATTTCCTTGACCTTTTTTTGGTTATAATGCTACCCTGTATTTCATTTTATAATTGTATTATACAGGGTGACTGGTGAATTACTTTCGATATTTGAGGACGTGATATTTGACGATCATATATGACATAATAAAAATTAATATAACATAAATATTAATAAACTTCTAAGTAAAGTTAACCAAAAGTTATGTAATTAATTACGCATCGTGTGAACACCCTACAGATTAGGTATACACTCACACTCACACATACGCGTGTCGCGACGTGGTGTTGTATCAGCACGACGCCGCACGCGTCCACACTTAAACACTTGGAACGTGTCAACACTTTACTTATTTATACGGAAATTTTGTCAAAAATTAAGTGCCTATTTTTTTTACATAATTCGAATGAGAATCATGTACCGAGTATTCTCCTTAAATATTGATAGTAATTCACCAGTCACCCTGTATAATCTCCTAAATACCAAAAAAAATATATTAAAGATCAAAAGCTGCTTTAATACCATTGTGTTTAATATTATAATTTGTTATTTGCAGATAAAACAAGATGTCGAAAATTCAGGCTGGTCCAGTTGTTGATATTCTCGGAGATGAAATGACCAGAATTATCTGGGATCTAATTAAGAATAAATTGATTTTACCATTCTTGGACATTGAACTTCATACTTACGACTTAGGTATTGAGCATAGAGACAAAACCGAAGACCAAGTTACCATTGACTGCGCTGAGGCTATCAAAAAATATAATGTTGGTATTAAATGCGCTACTATTACTCCTGATGAGAAGAGAGTAGAAGAATTTAACCTTAAAAAGATGTGGAAGAGTCCCAATGGTACCATCCGTAACATCTTGGGGGGTACAGTTTTTAGGGAAGCGATTATTTGTAAAAACATTCCTCGTCTTGTAACCGGATGGGAGAAACCCATTATTATTGGACGTCATGCCCACGCTGATCAATACAAAGCAACCGACTTTGTTGTTCCTGGAGAAGGAAAACTTGAACTGATATTCACTCCTCCATCTGGTGAACCAATTAAGCACGTCGTTAATGACTTCAAGGGAGCTGGTGTAGCCATGGGTATGTTTAACACTGATGCGTCCATTGTTGATTTCGCTCATTCGTCCTTCAAATATGCCCTGGACAGAAAGTACCCCTTGTACCTGAGTACCAAGAACACCATTCTTAAAAAGTATGACGGTCGCTTCAAAGACATTTTCCAAGACATTTACGAGAAGGAATATAAATCTCAATTTGAGGCTGCTGGTATTTGGTATGAGCATCGTCTCATTGATGATATGGTTGCTTATGCTATGAAGTCTGAGGGTGGTTTTGTGTGGGCTTGCAAAAACTATGATGGAGACGTTCAGTCTGATTCTGTGGCTCAAGGATACGGGTCATTGGGACTTATGACCTCAGTTCTTATCTGTCCTGACGGAAAGACAGTCGAGGCTGAAGCAGCCCACGGAACTGTTACCAGACACTTCCGCTTCTATCAACAAGGAAAAGAGACTTCCACTAACCCTATTGCCTCTATTTTCGCATGGACTAAAGGTCTTCTGCACCGTGCCAAATTGGACAATAATGACGAGTTGAAAAAGTTCGCAGAAACTCTTGAGAATGTCTGCGTAGAAACAATTGAGTCTGGTATAATGACGAAAGATCTTGCAATTTGCATTAAGGGTATGAATAATGTAAAGAGGTCAGACTACTGTGAAACATTTGAATTCATGGACAAGCTTGCTGAAAACTTAAAAAAGAGTTTGGGAAAATGACTAAATAGTCTCAAACAGAATAGTAATCTTTAATAATCTTTTTTTATTTATTTACAAATATGTAATGGGCTTGAGGATATATTAACGCATTTATTTATACTTCTTTTTAAATGTATTAAATAAATACATGCTATAAAAGTGTTTTCTTTTTGTAGTCATTACTATCGTGAAATTTTTTGAACCGCAAATAACCATTACAATGCACGTGATAACGAGTGTGAGCGATAATTTATCTGATTGATAAGAATGAGGTTGGCAAGTTGATATGCTCTTATAATACTAAAGAACTATTATATTGCGTAATATAGAATTGTAATTCGTTAACGCCTATTTGTCAATTGATACTTGTAAATTCAATGAATATATGTTTATTGATGTTTGACCTCACTTGAAGTTATAGTTTCCGACTAATATGGAAATGTTTATACGTTGTATTTGCTTATGTTTTTAAATAAACCCGTCAATCTTTTATACAGAGAAAAAAACATGTGTTTTTAAAATTTAACCTTGTATATCATATTTTTTATCATAATCAAAATATTATTCATATAATTGTTTCTTATTTAGCCAAATACGAATGATGATTCATTATTGTAGGAAAACAGTAAACCTTTATATAATTAGTAAATATTAATGAAGGTAACTTTAAACCTGAGTAGATTTAAATAATAATTTTAAACTAAAACTTATCAACATTATAATATCTACGAGCTTGTTAGACGACGCAAAAAGATTTTTTTATATTTATTTTGAATTTGATTGCTAGGTGCATATATAGACAAATACTTAAAGATAATTCTTGAAATATAGATAGTAATAGAATTTAAAAATGCAAGCGAAGTCGGGTAAATATGTGATAGTAGGTATAGGAAATATTTTAAATACCTTTGGTAGTTACCAATCTTCTAAATATTATCGTTTCATAATATTCTTGTGTCAACAACATTGACTTGAAATAAATAATAATATTATATAGCCTTGAATTAAGATAACTAATAACATAAGCGGTAAATGACTAAACTTGTTTATAAATAGGAATGCCGTGAATATGCTTACCGTTAGCTGGCGGATGTATTCTTAATTTCTATAGAACTAGCGACATTCCAACGACAGCAATTTTAATTCGATTTAACGAAAAGAAAACATCACAAAATATACAAAAAAAAATAATTCATGACTATCATTATACATAAATACTTAATGCTCAATATGAGTAGTAAAAAGATAAATAATGTAGTACATATTTTCTTTCATTTGTTGTAAAAATAAACTCTTTCAAGAAAATTTAGTAAAATCCAATTCAAGTAAGATGACGTACCAAATTAATTTTAATTTAAAGGAATTGTGTACCTTTCATTTTCTTAAATAAATATTTGCCTCATAGTAGTTCATGGTCGCAGTTCAATATTAATTTTTAATACTACGAGTAATATTCTAAATAAATTATAATAAGTTATCCTGCTCCAGACTAAGCGGGGAAAGAATTGTGCTTCAAAGGATATTTAAGGTAGTGTTACTTAAAAGTGTGTCTTTTTATGAACCTAAAAATTTTAATTCCAGTGACCTATTGGGAAATGAAATTGGGAATGATTTTTAAACTTTATTATAAAGTTTGATATGAAAATAAGGTTAAAACTTTAATAAAAAAAAATAACATTACCGCCTCTTATGAGTAGGTACGTCCTTTAAAACGCAGTCTTATAACAGCTATTCAAAAAGTTTTACTTCCTTTAAATCTTTGATGCGTAAAATAAAATTTCATATAGTTTCCTACAAATTATGTATGAAGATTTTAATTGTAAGGATATTTTTGTTTGTAGAATTATGGAAAAGACAAAAGACTACCAGCAGAATATTATCATACTAGTAGATTACCTATCTAAAAAAAGGTAAACGTAGAAACCTAAAAAAGTTACATTGTTTAAAAATTAGTATATTGTTTTACATGCTATACTATAAATTTTTGGTAAACATGTCATACAAAAATAGGTAAATTGAATTTTGACAGTAATCAACCTACCTAGTACTTACCTACAGTCTTCACAACTAACGCAAACTATAGTTATTCAGAGATATATTTAGAAAAACTTATTGCAGAACCAATACTTAATGACAAAAATAAGAATATGATAATTTCAGTTATTATAATCGAACCCAAAAACTTCATATAAAATTATCCAAGTGATATAGTAAAAAGCCTTGAATATTCACTGTGGACCTAATTAAAAGTACAGGTGAATATATTTAAAACACTGAATACAATCTTAAATATATTGATGTCTCTGAAATGAATAATAAAAGTGACACCGGTTATATTGAATCCGATTCTGATTTTATTTAGGTACAGTTTCATTTAATCTACATCTCTAATTATGTAAAAAGTCTCTATTTTTTCTTATCTTTTAACAATAAAAATAACTCAACCAGCAAACTATGTAATTCTTTCATTAAAATTAAGTAAACTAACAGTAGTTACCGAGCAGTAGGTAAATGATTTTCTCTGAATTAAAACTCCTTGTAAAATAATATTGCAAAATTGAATATAGCAACTTCGGTTGTTACTATCGCTGCAATTTAAAAGAAAAAAAAAAATATGAAAGTTTTTATTTTTTTCACTTAATTAGAACTAAAAAAAACCTAAATAATAAATAAAATGTATTGATTAGAACATATGTATTTGATCTCATGAAATTATAATATTGTGTAAGAAATAAAGTTGTTTCCATCTTTAGGGTATAAATATCCAAGGCGCTGATGGTACTTGATTTTCTTGTCATTGGAAATTATTGCGGCGATTATAACAATTGTGGTCATTGGTAGACAATCCCAGAATAGAATGACTTAATCAAATTATAATTTTAACGATAACTATTACATATTATTGAGGCATAAATTTTAATTACTAATCTCTTTGGATATTACTGCTCGTCTGATGAAAAATTATGCTTTATACTTTGGTTGACAATAAGTTTTAAATTTAAAAAAAATTCGATAAAACTCCACTAGATTATTCTAGATTCTAAATTGGATTTGAATTTGACATACGTATATAGGTATTTATAATTTTAACAAGCTTTGTTTTTTTTTTGCTTTACAAACGTGAAATGAGTTTTGTTTTCTGTAATGAATACAATTGAAATTGTCTTTTTTTCAAAACATTACGCAAAACTCAATGATTTTAGTGCAAAAAGTTACTATAAATCTTATTTTCTAAACTGATCGTTGTATAATAGCTCTTCAAGAGGAAAAACACGTATCTATACAATTTTTACACGCTTCAATGACTTGTAACTATAGTTGGCAGTTGTTCAAAAGAAACATGAAAGTGAATACTCACTACTTATTATTTTAAGTCTCCAAATTTGAAAGGGTTTAAATTTTATGATTGCAGAATACACTTTTCTAAGAAGTTATCGTGAATAGTGGTGCGTTATATATTTTATATGTCCAAACATATATAATTTTTAAGTGTTTGATTCCCTTTCCTCCTATTAAACAACCGGTGATTTTAAAACGATAATGAACATTAATAACATTTATTGACACACGAACATGGGATTTCTGATTGAATTATACATTTAATTTAGATGTATATATATTTTTATAACGGTTGGGTAATCCGTGGAATTTATAAACCTCGTCCGTACATATTTGCTATGCATAAAAATTTGGAACGCTGTGTTGTTGAAGCAGTATACAAAAGATTTTGTTCTTTAAATTTACTATCTCAAATTCCTACATATTTTCTCGTATAGTTTCATGAAAGATATATTTTATGAGTTTTAAATATTTTAGTATCTTTGTAAGTCTAGAATACTTCTACATATAATACTATGGGTATTCGAAATTTAATCCAACAACTGCAGGTATTTGTTCAACAATATTTGTTCGTTTTTGAATCGTTTAGATATTATAAAAACTTATTTTTGCAACATAATATTTCTATTACATGTAAATATTTAAAATACACTTAATTTATGCTGCATACGAAATCAATGAGAGTGCAGCAGAGGGCCAAATAAAGTTTTATAATTATTTTTTTCATTACTACTACAACTATTAATTTACAATTGAGCCATAAATATTGTTTTTCAACTCCAGGAAAGGGTTGTAAGTGGTTATTGTGCTAGTTTTGGATAGACTTCTATTTTATGTTTATTTTTTTAAATTCTATCACATATTATATATTATTGGATGTTATTTCAACTTGATTACATATTTTTAATATAAAATATAAGAAAATACGTTTCATCCAAAACCCATAAATGTTTTATTTTTGGTGTTAGGGTCCCCGTGTCGTAATCAAAAAAATAACTTTTCTTACTGAATTACCGGAGGCGGTTGACGCGGTTTCCCCTACAAACGTCCCTCCCTTCTCCCTCTGTAGAGTGGGCCATACAACGACGGTTCGCGAAGCTCTCACGGTGCTTACTAGTTACTGCTTACTTCAGTTTAGCGGGCAAACCCACACAAACCACTCGTGTACACCCGGCTTATGATTTGGCGGGAATCTGGATCGCGTAATAATATAAAAATTCGTGTGCCGTGAATAATGCACAATTTCAATAATATGCTATACCAATGCTTCATTGTCCTTAATGCTCTGGTAAGTATTGTTTATTTTAATAAAATTTATATAAAAAATTAAACAAATTTATAATAACAGAAAATCTAAGATATTAAAGACTATAATTTAAAATTTACGATTATAGTATGAAGAATGAAAATAATAATACAAGATTTTAGTATTAAATAAATAAAAATAAACAGTCAAATGTAAGCAGTTTTAAAAAAAACACAAGTAAAACAATATTTGATTGCGTGATGAATTTTATAGATAAGTTAATAGACGTTACAAATCAGACGTAGCCTTTTGAATAAAATTATTGTGCGAGCTTACTTCACCTGACATAACAACCGGTAAGATTATGCTTACATATGTTTACGTCCAAATGTTTAGCTACAACGCCGTAGGTACGCACACTAACTGTATTTATTAT